TCTTTAAATCTTGATCCAACTACAACAAGCAGGAAGTGGCCTGACACTGGGCAGTATCTTGAGCATACATGAAATATCAAAACCGGACTCCACAGTGACATATTTGCTCCAACAAGACTATACCTACTCCAACAAAGTTAAACCTCTTAGCAATGACTCTCTCTTTTTAAACAATTTTCTTTTAAACCACCACAAAATGGAAATGGATGTAGACAACGATGGTCAGATATTATATAGAGAGAGTCTAAAAGGAAGGTCTCCATCAATCCTTCCAGTCCAAGTTCTAAGAAACCCTTAGGCAGGGGAAGAAGATTATAAGGGGAAGATTATAAGAGCAAGAGAACAAGGCCCTCTAAATCAAATAAACAAGGTACAAATGAGCACAAGAAAAATGTGAAGCAGCAAGTATAGGTCCTACATGGGTCTGCACATATATATATATAGATAGATATATATAGATATAGATATAGATATAGATATAGATATAGATAGATAGATATAGATATAGATATAGATATAGATATAGATATAGATATAGATATAGATATAGATATAGATATCAATTCAATCAATTAGCTTATAATATTTTATTGGTCTTCTGACAGTGCAAACATGTGTGTCTCTCACATGTGTGCAGCTCTTGGAACTCTTTTCTGCCTAATGGGTAGCAATATGCAATTTTGTATAATAGTTTTGTCTTATCATTATTTTATTTTATCAGGTTGTTTTCTAATGGGAGACAGAAGATGAATAGATTTGAAGAGAAGGATAGGTGGGGAATACCAGAGAGGATTAGATAGTGATATATATATATATATATATATATATATATATATATATATATCATATAGCATATATTATACATATAATAAAATTTGCAATACATTATAATATATACATATATAAATCATGGGAAATATATATGTTGTGAAAATACAAAAGCATGTCTGCTTAAATGACAGTGCTGAAATTCCCTAGTACTTATAGACCTCAAGTAAAACATAAGAAAATATATTTCCTCCAATTTGGCGTTGTCATTAAAAGAATTTGCCAATTCTTATAAAAGTCAAAACTCCTGTCCAAATCAGGATGTTCTTTCTTAAAAGAGAAAAATAACACTAAGCAAAAAAAGCAATTTGACTTAGATATGAAATTTACTCAATACCTACACATCAATATTTATTAGTCAATAGGTCATTTGTACCATAACATTGAATGATAGTAATGATCTGGAAACTATGAAGTATATTAAAATGCTGTATTATCTTCAAAATTCCTAGTTCATTTTAAATTCTTTAGAAATTAAAGTATATGCTCTCAATAGTGATGACTTTTCAAATTTAAGATAAAATTCAAAATATATTCAATTATAAAATCAAGTGCATCAAAACTAATAATATCATAATAACATAAGACTTAAATTTGAAGAGAAAGTGAAACTATCAGCTTAGAGATAATAATACTTATGCATGTAGTAGACAAATAGTTATTTATTTTCATATATAATTCAATCACCAATAAATCAGAATAAACACATTTAATCATTAAGAGATGAATTATATATTGATAAATGTCCATTTTATATTATACCTAAAATATAAAAAATTCATGTTTGTATAAGTTGTGTATACACATGTAATTTAATGTCAGTAAATCCAATATGTAAAATGGAATGTGTAATATATTAATAATCTTCACAGTGTAACAAAAATATTAAGCAATAAAAAAGTATTTAATCTTGTTTAAAATTAGACAAAGGAAAAGCTAAATGATGACCATGCATTTTATTGTTTGGAATACTGGCAATATTCAATATCTGGACAAACATTATGACTCTGAGAAACCACTATAGACATTATGGATTGCAACTACTAACTGGGAAACAATTCACATTTCTCTTTGAATTTGTTGAATTCATTTAAAATGTACATTAGGTATCCAGTCATTACCAAATCAATCCTGCAGAAATTTTGTTATAATTTAAGAATTTGTTCTTATAAAACTTTTTAATTATTATTCTTTGTGCATAGCTGAAATAACTCATGATTTTCAGCTCTGTATTTTTATAAGTCATAGTCACAATGAAGTAAGATATGGCACTAAAATGACACTAATTTCTGAAAAGCAGGTGGAGGATAAATGTATTCAGTTTGACTTTGAATTTAAGGTAGCTCTGAAAACATTTTGTAGAAAGCAACTGGCATTTGAAAAAAAATCTGGCAGCATTTGTATTTTATGTAAGGGAAACAAAGGGATACATTTAGGGAACATGCTGGGAATTCTGTGTGATGTATTTGCTGAGATTGCATTATATGGAAAAGTTGTATCATAATCAAAATTGGCAATTAAATCCATTGTATCCAATGTATTTTATCATTTCCTTATTCAGCATTCTGTCAGGTGTAGGATGCTGCTTTATAATATGGTATAACTTCATTTAAAATCACATTTGAAACATATCAAGGACCAATATTCAACTATTTTTACTATTTTTATTAAAAGTTTAAAACAGAAATTTCTAGCCTTCATCTAAAATGCAATTATATAAAGAGAACTAATGGCCCTAAAGATTTCCTCCAGCAATAATCTCATAATATCATATATGATTTTACATTGAAACATTTTGATAATAATCATTGATAATAAAATTCATTGCTGAAACATTATAATTATTGCAACTTTTAACCTTCATAAAGAATGATTTTCTAAATTAAAGTATAATTACATATTTTCTATGAAGAAATATTTTTAGCTTTTAAACACACATCCTATCATTACAGACAAAGATCCAGAGCAATCATTTTAGAGAATGACATGGCTTGTTTTAAAAATTCTGTCACTATCTACATTCTTCTACAATCAATTAGATGTAAGTTCTAAACTTTATAAACAAATAAGTTTAGTTCATAGCAGATAAATGGGAAACATATTTAATGTGCCATGGCTGTGCTCTGCAACAAATGGATAATATTTTCATTCAAATACTTCACCTTTATTTGAGATACAGTTTGTAATTAGTCTTAGAACTTGTTTTCTCATATAACATGTCTAATAAAGTTAATAAGAGACAGAAAATCCTGAAGATTTTTTATTTAACCCAATGTAAAATGTGTGTCTTTTTACCAGGGAATTCAGTCCATTGATATTGGGAGATCTTAATGAACAATGGCTGTTAATACCTCTTATTTTGTTGTTGATGGTGGTAGTGTTCTGTTCTGGCTTTTTGTGTCTCCACTGACAAATCAGCTGTAATTCTAATAGTGCTGCCTTTAAATGTTACTTGCTTTTTCCCTTGCAGCTTTTAATCTTTCTTTTCTTTCTGTATATTTAGTATTTTAAATTTGATCTTGTGTGGGATAATTTTTTCTAGTCCAACCTTTTTTGTTTGTTTGTTTGTTTGTTTGTTTTGTTTTATGTAATCCTCTTGTATCTTTACAGGCATGCCCTTCTTTATGTTAGGAAAATTTTCTTCTATGACACTGTTGAAAATATGTTCTGAGCCATTAAGCTGGGATTTTTCTCCTTCTTCTATTCCTATTATTCTTAATCAGTTTTTATTGTGTCTCATATTTCTTGAATGTTTTGTGTCAAGAACATTTTAGAGTTAACATTTTCTTTGACCAATGTATCCACTTATTCTATCATATCTTGTATACCTGAGATTCTCTCTCTTCTGTCTCTTGTATTCTGCTGGTGATGCTTCTGTCTGTATTTGCTAATCACTTACCTAGATTTTCTATTTCTGGCATTCCCTCAGTTTGTGTTTTTTTTATTGCTTCTTTTTCCATTTCCATGTCTGAATTGATCCATAAATTTCTTTCCTTTGTTTGTGTTTTCCTGGATTTCTTGAAGTGGTTTGTTCATTTCCTCATTAAGGGCTTCTCTTCATATGATTTGGTTTGATTTTTTGTTTGCTTTGGTTTCATTGTTTGTATGTTTGGTGTTTATTTAAATCCAGTTTTGTTGGACTACCCAGTGTTTGTTGTAGTATGATTGCTGGGGTGTGGTGATGTGATATCATCTTGACTGATGTTGATTGCATAGTAATGCTGTTCTCAAATCATCTTACAACTTAAATGACTATTACAAAATTTTCCTAAGAAACATCTAGGAGCTGTGACAATATCAAATACCATGACGGCATCCATGTTTTTAACTGTCAAGACTGCAAGTGAACTATGAAGGAAGCATTGGCTATCTGTCTTAGAGTGTTTTAACTAAAACATTTACCACCAAAATAAAGTAATGATAGAGCAATGCGTTTAGGCTTCTTACTTCCTCATCTAGTATGGGTTACATTTTGTATACAAGACATCAAATCAATGTTAGGATGTAGCTCAGAGACCAGCAATTTACTTTTAATAAGTGAGAAAGCACACACATAATGGACAAATGTCACAAAATGAAGGAGTGATTTTTGAGAATGTGGCAAAAGCCTCAACATTTATTATCAGTTGCTTACTGGATAAAGTGGTTGTAAATATAATTTACAGAAACTCAAGAGTAATTAATGTAAATAAAATATTTCATTCCTTGCAAATGATGACACAGAAAATAATTTAAGTCATTGAGACAGGTGGATAAATCCAGGCTCTTTGCACATTTACGAAATGTCTAACATACACTGTACACACCTCATACTTTCCAGAGTAAAAAAAAAAAAAATCTCTCACTAAAAATGCAGAGGGTATGGATGGGACAGCAACAGCAGGAGTGTGGTCCTAATGGAGATTAATCATATACATATTCTACAAAAAATAACAGAATCTCATAAAGGACAGGCCTCAGAGAACAGAAACAAGGCAGGAGCTGAGGGAAAGAAAAACAACTTGCTAATTTCTAGCTGAGGTATTAGATGTTTATTAAATATACAAGCCTGTATAACTCTTGACTGGGTTCTATAATTATCTTCCAGAATAATTCAGGAGAAATAAATGCATTCATGAATACTGACATATAGGCTATACAAATTAGGCAACTTAATTTTCCCCATAAAAGTCATGGTTACATGGCAGGGGAAATACCATGACCAAGATAATGTTTTTCCCAGGATGAGGCTTATTCATTGCACTCTGGATGCTCTCTCTCTGACCCTGTGATTCTCCAAATATAGGAAAATCAATTGCATAGTGTGTGGTAATAATAAAATAGTTTGGACATTTTTTTAACAATAAGGAGGATTATTATATAGTTTTTGGTGTTATGTTTTTTTTTTTATCCTGTCTTTTAGTTTGGTATTTATTGTCAGTGAATCTTTTTCTCTATTTAATAGAGAACTTTGAGACGATCTGGTGGTATGGGTTCTTAAATTTAACCAAATAATTACATTTGCATATTTTAAAATGTGTACAAGGAACTTGCTTTATTTAATATTTGTATGACAAATCAGGTTTAACTTTCATCCGGGAAGTATTTTGCTATTGCATAGAGTATTTACTATTAATATTTTGTAATTACCTGATTAGCTCTGCATGGTCACAAACTGCAACCTTGTGTCATTTCCAGATATCACAAGTTGCACTAGTTTTTGCTTTCTCAGACTTGCTGGAAGTTTACCAGTTTTATTGATCTCTTCACAAAGCCAGAATTTGGGTTCATTGATTTTTGTCGATTGTGTTTTCCTTGTCAATTTCATTGATTTTACTCATGCCTTTATAATATACTTTAGTCACATTAGGGTTTAATATACTCTTTTCTTACAATGACATTTAGAGTACATTTACACAAGATATTTTTCTTGGATTTCTAATAAATATAAAAGGCTCTCATTACCAGTTAATTTAAATGAAACACATTTCAAAATATTTAGCTATTTTTTCTGTTTTAACAATTTTCTAGTTTGTTTCCAGACTTCTGTTCACACAAGATTACTCAGAAATATTGTAATGAGCTTACATGCTTTTGCTCTATTTCATCTTATGTTTTTGTATAGGTTTTGAATTTCATTTTATATGACTACAGACAATCATTTTTAGTGAATACCACTTTTATTAGATTTACTAATGTGGGTAGTAGAAAGACCAATCTATCTCAAACATACACAAAGAAGTACAGACAACAAAGGAATACTTAGAGTGAGAGAAACAATCTTCCCTAGGAAGAAAATATACCATTTGATTATTCAATACAGAATGATTAACCTGGAAACATACTTCAGCCTTATGCAGACTGAATAATCTGTATTTAGAAAGATATATGTGTATACATGCATATGATAACAATTAATGAAAACAGAAGAAATGAATTTGAAAGAGTACAAGGAGGCTTATAAAGGAGCTTTGGGAGTACAAAGGGGGAGAAGAAAATATTGTAATTATATTAATCTCAAAATTGATAGGGAAAAACTCTGCAGTGTCTGGAGAAAAATATTGACACTGGAGTAAGCAACAAGGAAAAAGACATGAAAAGAGATTGAGGAAGACACCTAAGTTGACTTCTGGTTACACACTCTAACACGAGCTCACACACACAGATGGGGGGGACACATTTTTATTTTTTGCATACAGTCATGTAATGTGTAATGTGTTTTGATCAAGTCCACACTGACTCTCTCACTTTTGACATTTTTCTATCTCCTTCACCAAACATCCTCTCACCAATTATGCCTTCAATTTTTGTTTCCAAAAGAAAAAAAACTAGTGAGTTCAATTTGGGATGCACACATGTGTGTGGTTGTAGGGCCATCTATCTATGAGATTATGAGTAGCCTCTCAGTGGTCACCACCATGAAAAGAGCTGTCTTTCCTCACTCTAAGTGTTCCTGGCAGCATAGACTGTTAACAAGACAAGGACTTTCTAAGCAATGATCTTCAACAGGTACTTGGCCATTGTTAGCACTTCTTAAGGTTTGCCTGTTCTTTGATTTTCCTTAGTTCTATATGTTTTTCAGACCTTCTGGGACTCTTATGACAGGAATTTGGCATTTAGTATGGTAGAGAACTGATTTTTATTCAACATATTACTGTTGTATTAGTATATATGATAATCTATTGATTTATTTTCAAGATAATTGTCTCTTCTGTTTCGTCATTCAAAAATAATTATTGGATTTTTGTCAGCTGTAAGATTTCCATTTGTTTCTTGTCCCGCGCCCGCTCTGTATTCCTCGCCAGCAAGAAATCATACGCAGGACACTCGGATCCTTCTGCAGACAAGCTTTAATGCATTTTACCAGAGTGGAGACATTGAACCAAGAAAACCATCCCTATATAAAGGCTGACCAGCCACCTGGGACGTGTTATCCTATGAATGGCTTTAGCTCCTCAGGCCAAAATGAGCCACGGGATAGGCAGAGATCAAAGGAATGGAGATTACCCAGCGCCTGTGAAGTAATTCACACCTTGGTGTCTTCAGGCAACATTATAATGCAGGAACCGGCTTCCTACATATCCCCCTTTTTTATTAATTAATGAAAAGGCTTTATATATATTTTTATAAGCAAATAGGTCACCCAAATGTTGAGGGATAGAGGTAGAGGCTGAACCTTCCCAAAATCAAACATTAAGACTGTGTACAAGAGTCGCCCTCAGGCTGTTAGCTTGACCCGAAGCGCTCTTGACCTGTCCTCTGCCGTTTTTCTGGGAAAGGGGATTCTCAGGGCAGGTAACCCTTATGCAGGTCAACGTACCTCCCAGAGAAGCCTGCATAATAGGCAACTCTGTGCGATGCCTATGCTCAGCATCCCTCTTTGGGCTGCTC